GCTATGTGCTGGGCACCACTCCCGGCTTCACATCAAAGACCTCGCTCACCCATCACAACAACTGGAAGGACCAGGTCCTGTGATGATGCCCCTTTTACAGACGAAGGAACGGAGACAGTGTCAGGACCCACATTCTGTTGAGGCGCTTGGGGACAGGAGCAGACGCAGGGGAAAGGTATGGGCTGACCGGCTGCAGAATGAAGTCCCACAGGCATTTCCTGTCTGCTCAGGCCCTTGGGCACCAACCTGCCTTCACCACCCAAAGGGAGGAGTCACAGAACCGCGGCGGGTCGTTCCCAGCCCAGTGCTTTGTGCCTTCACCCATCTCACGCTGCTTGAGCATCCCTCAGAGCCCGGCACTGGCTGGGGGGTGGGGATGGGGGGGAAGGAGAACACAGGAAGGGGATGGGTACTGGCCATCCAGTTGGGACCCAGGAGTGCGTGCTGTGCCAAGGCACGGAGCACCGCTGGCTGGGAGAGAACCCAGGGAGCGGAGTGGCTACGGGGCAGCCTGTGAGCAGAATGGCAAGAGGTGAAGGGGGAGACAGGCAGGAGCCAGGCCCTAAGCACCAGGTGGGGGATGGGCTTTGTCCTGAGAGGAGAGGGGCCGTTGGACGCATTCCACCAGGAGTGACAGGACCACTGTGACTGCGCTGAGGGCCTGGAGGTCAGCAGTGCAGGCCAGTGGAGAGGAGAGGACTGAGCAGAGGAGGCAGGGTCCAGGGAGTTTGCAGACCCAGTGCCCCAGGGGAAGAGGCGAGTCAAGGACAAACGCAGGTGTGACTTTGAACTCAGGGATGGATTCGTGAGGTCATTTCTGAGACGGAGACCCAGAAAGAGCGGGTCTGTGGGAAGATGACTTCAGTCTGGACATTTCGTGCCTCTGGGCTAACCGTGTGTGGGCAAACGGCTTTACCGCGCATTCCCAGCTTCTTCTAGAATATTCATTGCGGGTGCAGAGGGCGCAGTGTGCCCTGGCATGGCAGAGGGCAGGGGAGGGAGACCTGGGATCTATGCTGGCCTCACGGCTGGGGACGGCAGTCCTGGGTCCCCCTGCAGGGCAGCTGATGCAGCAGCTTGGAGGGAAGGGACATGGAGGTGCCACGAAGGGGCTTGGTCAGGGGCTGCCAGCCCTGCGAACGAGCTTGGGCTTCTTCCACCTCTCCAGCTCTGGGTGGGGCCCGAATTTCCACCCTTTCATGAGCTTCTTTGCTCGGCTGGACTCTCCAGACCCGGGGCCACTGTCGACGGGACGACTGCTTTCGGTGTAAAGGGGGTTCAGTGCTACGCGTGTTCGTGCCGGTCTCCTCAAATCCTCCTCGAGGGTGGACGAGGGAAAGGAGGCTCAGAGAGGTTAGGAGACTCGCCCCAGTCACACAGCTGTTCACTATGCCCCAAAGCATCTTCAGCAGATCCTGTCTTTGCCAAGCAGAAGGCGGCATGAGGGCAGACAGAACTCCGTGGGCTGGAGGCCAGGGCCAAGGATGGGAGGTGAGGAGAGGGGGAACCACAGGACGGGGCCACACACACTGCCTGTTCCCCGACCCTGGGAGCCCTCATGGCCCCTCCCTCTGGGCCTACAAAGTCTAAAGTCAGAACAGACAAGCCTCTCACTCCAGGTCAACTTGGACTTGGCTTTTTGGTGCAGAAGCAAGTGGGAGCAGGAGCAGCCTGGCCTCTCTGTCCTGGACACGGGGGTGAAAACACAACAGCTTTTCTGCAGCTACTACCAGGCCCAGGGCTGGGCCTCACAAGGTCTCTGGCTACCCTCTCAGCTACCAGTAATCCTTTGAAAGAAAGGGGGTAGGAAGGATGACGTCAGTAGCTTGCGCCTCTACTGTGCCCGCCTCGGCTGGGCTGCGTGGCACCGGTGCCGTGACATTCGACTTGACGGTTTCCAGGCCTGAGGCTGGCCACCACCTCTGCCCACGGATAAGCCCAGGGGCCCCAATCCAACAACAAGACAAATGGCTCTGGTGTTTTACAACAGGATACAAATGGAACTAATTCTTTTTTCCTCCCTTATCACTTTGCACACGTGAAATCTGTTTTAATTAGCTTTCCGTCTATCACCTTAAGCCAAATAAGGAAGAAACCCCGCAGACTGCTCCCACCCCCAAACGGTGCTTAGAGAAAGAAAGATTTATCCTTGCAAGTTTCGTAAGAAAATCTATATGTGCTCAATGCATTTAAATAACACTCATTAAAGTGAACTGCATGCAAGCTGCCTTCCCTCGTCACAGATGAGAGGCGGTAGCTTGACCTATTGCAAATCAAAAAGCATTTCCACACCACCTTTATTTTTCAGCTGGTTAAGTTTTCAGATGAAAGTCCCAACACCCTTTTTTGGGGGGAAGGCAGACTAACATAAATCGCCCCAACGGAACTTTTAGCCCAGCCGATTGGAAGATAATGACAAGAAACAAAATGTGAAATTTTAAATCAGGGCACTAATGAAATCTAAAAATACCAGTGGCTCCTCCCTCTGGCTGGCAAGACCCGCTCCTCGTGGATGGGATTTCTCCATAATTACTCAACCCTGTGAGAGGCGAGGTTGTCACGTCAAACAATAGCAGGGAAAGACTCGGGACTTTAAGGAGCCAGATCTCAAGGCGAGCCACGGTGGGTCTTATTATAACGCTGGGCAAGGTTTCAGCCAGTGAACAGGCGAGAAGGCAAGTTCTTCTTTTCCTAAAGTGGAGTTCAGACTGGTGTTGACACACCGCACAGTGCCTCCCGGACCCCTCTCGGAGCTGGCTGCCTGTCATCTAGGAGTGTGAAATCAATGGGGCTCGGGAGATGTAAAATCCCGAGGGGCGGAATTAAAAGTGACCCAAATCCAAACCCACACGGTCTTGTCAGGAGTATGATTCTCACACGGCAAGTTCCGAAGATGTGATTTCAAAATTCGGGCTTCTTATTTTAAAAAATATGCAGTTGTTTGACATTAGATCTGACAGACAAATTATAGCTTTAGCAATAAAGGCTTTTAGGATTAGAAATGGAAGGAGAAATTACTTAAAAAACACCACAACACACACACACACACACACACACACACCCCAACAAACCCACCAGGCCCGAGTTGGGAGGCATTTGTATGTGTGTGTTTCATTGTCTCTCTTCACCGGAATATAAGGAGATACATCAGCGGACGAGGTCGTGAACATAGAGAATCAAGTTCAATGTAATTTCTGGGGGAAACAGTCAGCTCTCCCGCAAACTATCCAAGTCTGTGTGAGGGTTGTCACCGGGGGAGGGGAACCTCACTGACTCACCAGAAGGGGGCGCTGTGGACACTTGCTAGGCACACCCCAGCTCATACCTAGCACTGAATCTACCCTTTGGGGCTGGAAGAGGGAAGCCCATCAAGGCCCCTCTTTCTTCTCCCCTCCTGTCCATGGGCTTGGACCTACCATAGAGGATGGTTCATGTCCTCGGGCCCCACAAAGATGCTACAGGTCTGACTCTGCAGTGACCCGCTGGCCAGTGTGCCCAGGGGACAGCAGGGGCCCGTCTCTACCACTGCATCTTCCTGCTCTATGGACTCAGGTGCCTGGGGATGATGCCTGGCAGCTCTGGGGAGGCGGATGCCAGTTCCCTGCTAAGCCCCAAACGAGGGACTCCAATCCCGGCCAGTTACCAGTTTGCTTTCTGCACAGAACAAGGCTTTTCCTAGATGCACGTCTGACACCTGGCAAGTCAGCAAGACCCTTCACCAGTCCCGGGAGGTTGCCCGGTTAGGGGGTTATGCTCCCCCCGGCGGGGAGAAGGGAGCCCACCCACAGCCTCAGGCCTTGGCAAGGCCTCGGAGCCGCTGGGACACCCAGTGCCCATTGTGTCAGAGTTGGCAACATGTACATGGGGAGCAAGTTTTTGTTTTTGTAAAGGGAGAGAGAGCCTAAAACCAAACAAAAAAATTAATTTAGTCTTTTTTTTTTAAAAAAAGATCTTAAACAAAGCAAGAGTTTACCAGAATGTAGATGTAATGTTCTATAATTTTGTTGTTTAAAACTAGTGCTGATTTCCCAAACTAAGAGAGTCGGGGCCCATGAGACTGGGAACGAAACCCAGTGAAGATCTAGGTTGTGGGGGTGCTTGACAAGGCCTGGAAATCGCCCGAAAAGACGAAGAAGGAGATTCATGAGCAGAGGCGGGAAGAGGACAGTTAGCTGGAGCCAGTGCTCCCCAAGAGGCAAGGCCCCCGAGATGCAGGCTCAGGTGCTGAAAAAGGGGAGGCTGAGGATCGTGCCCAGAGACTCACACTTCCTAGGTCCACCTCCCCTCCCCTTTCAACGAGGCCTGGGTCCCCCAGCAGGCAGACCGCTGGCCATGTCCCTCCTGCTGCACCGGGCCCAGGCCGAGCTGCCTCCTTTCCGCACTCAGCACGAGCAGGCCTGGCTGTCTGGAGCTCTAGGGGCCCCACCAGAGCCTCACCGAGCCACCCTTGGGTCCTTGAAACAAAAAAATCCAACTGGCTCAGGATGGTCTGGGAGTGTCTCCTGGGCCTTGGCGAATGCCCAGGGAGGCGCTCTCATCCGATGGCACGGCGGGGGGTGCTTTTCTGGAGAGGGACACGGACAGTTCATATTCCCCCTGTCCGCATGGCTGGAAGATGGAAAAGGCCCAAGGGACTGTTTCATGGAGCCCTGAGGGGAACAGATGACGCCTGCTCATTCTGCACGTGGCCTGGCCTTGGGGTCAGAGGTGGAATGGCCTAGGGCTTGGGCTGGAGGCATAAGGACCCTGGATTTGGCAGACTCGCCCTCCCCTCCTCTTCCTGTCCATTCACATTGCCCTGCACCCCTATCCTGTCTTCCTCCTCCTCCTCTGTCTGAGGCCAGGGGGCCCTGCGGCAGCCTCCAGGGTGGGTGAGGTCAGAGGGTGCTGCGGGGGAGCACAGGCCGCCAGGAACCACGCTCCTGTCCGTTCCCGTCGCAGTGACCACGTGGGGAGGCGCAGACGCAGGCACACGGGGAGCAGGTGGCAGCGGGACTTACCTTTGGGGTGCCCAGGGTCGGTGAACTCATACTTCCCCACACCAATGGTCCGCAGCATCTGCAGCCCGTGGGCGGAGTCGGTCGTGGGGGGCCCGTTGGTGGCAGGGGCACCGCTGGGGCGAGTGGCCGACGGCTGGGCTGGCGGCGGTGGAGGCAGCAGGGGCCCTGCCATATGACCGTTGCCCACCGCAGTGGGTCCCGGGCGGGCCACCTGCCCCACGCCAGGCAGTGTGGAGACGGCCAGGGGCTGTGGGCTGGCATACAGGGCCTGGGCGGGCATGTTGACCACCACGCTGCTCAGTGGCTGAGAGGGTGGCTGTGGCAGCGAGTAGTGGCCTGGCATCAGCGGGAGCTGGGGCCCCACGTGTGGAGGCAGTGAGGGGGTCACCCCGATGACCGGGGCCTGGACGTTCACAGCCGGGCTGAAGGTGGGAGGCTGGGCCACTCCATAGGAGTGTGCGATCAGGGCGGGCTGGCTCCCGGCGGCCACCGTGGTCACCCATGGCCCTGTGCCTGCAAGGGAGACGGAAGAGATGTCATCTGCCGGTTATTCATTCACTCAACAAACACCAGCTGCCCCAGGCCCTGGGCTGGGCGCCAGGGTCACAGGGGTGGACAGCACGCCTGTGCCCAGGAGCTCACAGAATAAGCACCTGCGACTACAGGAGCAGGAGAGAAGCGCCTCAGGATATCTGAGCAGATGGCTGCGAGGGCTCGGGAGGGACGGCAGTCTTCCTGGGACAGGTGGAGAGGCAGCACAACAGACAGAAAAACGGGGAGGCCTTCAAAGAGATCCGGGCTCAAAGCCTGGCTCTGCCACTTGCTAGCTAAGAGCCTGGGCAAGTTGCTCGTCTCCTCTGAGCCTTGTTCCTCCCACCTGTTACATGGAACTAGCAACACCGACCTCACAGGTCTCCTGGGAAGAAGGGAATGAGGAAAACATATTTTAAAACAACTAGCAGAGGGCGTAGTATGTGCGACATGTTCCATACATGCCGGCATTTCCCCTTCCTCTTCGGAGGATCACGGAGGGGCGGTGATGGCTGGATTTCGATGGCAGGTTTCGCTGGGCCAGGGCTGGAGCTGCAGAGCTGGGGGTGTGTGCGGTGCGGGGAGTCAGTAGGGGCTGCTCTCTATGGCCTCGCTGCGGGGCCAGGCAACCTCTGCATAGCCAGCCTCGGGGGAACCATGAGAATCCGTTTTGGCCCTGAAGGAACTTGTGGCTGAACAAAGGAGTCCGGACACAGCTCCCGAGGCCTGGTCCAAGACGCAAGGCCAGGGCAGGCAGGGCAGGGCCAGGGCCCCCCGAGTGAGCTGCCATTGAGGGGACTCAAGCCGGCTTATGAGTGAGACCAGCGGATACGGTGACAGGCAAGGCCAGTCTGGGTTGCCTCGGACTGAATGGGTGTAGATGTAGGTCTTTGTCACCTGAATGTCACCTTAGCTTTCCTGACGCCTCTGGAGTGGCCGTGTAGATTGAGGGCGAGGCCCTGAGGAAGGAGGGTGGGCCACCAGTCCGAGGCTAGAGTCGCGGCTAGACTCTAGCTAGCCGCTAGACGCTGGGGTTGGGAGCTCCCACACAGAAAGATCACGAGGCAGGGGAAGAATCAAGACAGCAGGGCAACTATCAAACCAGCAGAGGGCGCTGTCCCCGAGGAGCTGTCCGAAGGGAGAGCCACTGGGCATGGTGGCGGACAGCGCTTTAGGCCTGATTCTGCCCTCACTAGCCGAGTGACCCCAGGCACAAGCCTCCCCGAGTCAGTTTCCCCATCTGCAGTGGGACAGGAATGACGCCAGCTTGGCAGGGCTGCTGGAGCAGCGAGATGACATAGAACGAGGATGTCATACCCGTGCAACCAACAGCTCTGATCACGAAGAGGCTGGAGGACACGAGAAGCTGGCAAATGTCGGTGAAGCGGCACCAGCAAGATTCTAGAAAGGGCTGCCGAGGGGAGATGGTCCCCCAGCCTGGAGAAGAGGAGGTGGCGTCACCACAAGCCAGCCTGGTGTCCCAAGGACACAGCACAGCCTGCTAAGCTCAGTTTTCTCCAGGATTAGCCAGGGAGCCCGAGAAAATGCTCCAGAACTTCCAGCGCAGCTGGGAGGTCTCGGATGGCTCTGTGGGAAGATCCAGAGGTGCCGCGGGCGGAGGCCTAGATGTATGAGGGGGTGGCCCAGAGGATGCCGAGACCTGCAGAGAGGCGTCTGATGGTGTGAGCCAAACTCTGCTCACCACTGTTTCCAAGGATGACTAAGTCTGCAGGTGACATAATATTGGGAGGATGAGGCAGTGGTCAGCAAGGAAAGCAGGAACCTCAGAGATCCCAAGGGTCACGAAAGGACATGGACAAGGCCTTGCCCTGGGGCCTCCACCCCTAGCTGCCTCACCCGCTTGCGAGGAGATGGACAGGGTCAGGGCAGCCACAGGACAGTGCTGGGCTCTTACTGCTGAGACAGCATGTGATGTGGCTGCCAGCAGGGCAGAGGGGACAGAGGCTGCCAGCAGGGCAGAGGGGACAGAGGCTGCAGTGGGCAGAGGGGACAGAGGCTGCGGTGGGCAGAGGGGACAGAGGCTGCGGTGAGCGGAGCAGAGGGGCTGAGCGGAGGCACTGGGCAGGCCACACACGGTCCTTCGTGCTGTGATCATGGGGATCACTGTTGAGCAATGAGATTGGAGCAACCCCTTTGAAGGGAAAGGGACAGGAAACTGGGGCTGAAGAACGTGGGTGTTTATTGCACAGAAGACTGGAAGGGGGGGGTAGTGGGCTCTCCAGATATCTGCAGGGCTGTGGCACGGAGGGCCAAGTGGACGCGTGTGCGTATCCTAAGGGGGGTGTGCGACTGATGGAGATAGCACGGAAGGCTCTGGTTATGGTCCCCGCTGTCCAAAGAAGGCCTGGCCTGCTGTAGGAAGTGGTGCGTGAATCCCCCGTCCTGGGTGGGGTGTGGAGCACCCCCTCCCCATGTATCCATTGGCAAGGCAGAACTCACTGGAAGGTGTGACTTGAGAAACCTGTTATGAACCAGGGTACTGCTGTTTGGGAATAACTATTCAAAATCACCCTGAGCCCACTCAAAGTCACTCCTACCATGTCACTCTCACTCCCCTGCTTTCTCCCAACGACTCTCTTGAGTAGCAGAGAAAGGGGGTAGAGACACAGCTACTACCCACGGAATGACATGCAGTGCCCCGACCCCACTCAGCACAGCCTGGGGTCCGGGCTGCTGCAGGCCCCTGCGCCAGGACCTGCTGAGGAGCTGGGGTGCCCCGTAGGCGCCCAGCACAGGTACCTCTGCCCATGGAGGAAGTACACACCTGGATTGTCGCTCTCCCTCATCTGTTTGGAGGGCGGCTCATCAGTGTCCCAGGGCGTGGCCTGATTGATGGGCGTCTGCCCCCACCGGATGCTGGTCGTGAGTCCCTGGGACTGACTGTCTGCTTTGGAGATGCCGGGCGCCTGGGGAGAAGCAGAGCAGGAAGGTGAGCACAGCCCGGTAAGGATCCTGCCCTGAGACCCGTGTCCCCTGCCCCCACCCCAGCGGTCCTGCTGCTGCCTGAGCCACGGGCCAGTCCCCGGGGGAATGACAGATCCTGTGGCCCAGCTGGAGCAGCTGTGACCTCTGCTAAACTCCCAGCTCCGGAGCACCCACCCCAGGACCTCCCCGGCCACCCTCCATGGCCAGTCACGCCACTGGAGCCATCACAAAGAAAAGAGCGTTCTGCCCTGAGATGTGACGTCCCTCCAGCCCCCGGGGCATTCGTAAACTGTAACAACATCCATGGGCATGTGCCGAGCACCGGGGCATACTCAGTGCAGGCTCAGTGCCACCGTCCACCTGGCCCTTCGACATGTGAGAGAGCGGCTCTCCAAAGCTCAGCTCCCAGGCCCCACCCTGCCTGGAGGCCCCGGAAGTCCCACTGGGGAGGAGACAGAGGCAGGGGCAGGGTGGGGACCCAAGCTGGTGGGAGGACAGCTCCCACCCGGCCGCCCGGAGGGAGGCAAGCCGGGCTGCAGGCCTCACTCTCTAACTTCGATCACGAAAGAGAAAGGAACCTCAGGGTGAAAGCAGCCATGAGGACAGCGCTGGTCTCCTGAGCCTCAGCCTGACGATGGGATGTTATGCAATCGTTAAAAATCACGTTTCCTAAGCGTTCTCAAGGGGATGGCAAAATGCTTGCACTGGGATGCTACACGAGAGAAGCAGGACACAAATGACACAACTACCGCCCCACCATGTGGACAATATGTGTCGGAGGGAAACGCTGAAGCGTTAGCAGGGGTGCTATCCTTGGGTGAGAGGGTTCGGGGTGATGTTTATTCTCTTGCCTACACTTTTCTGTATTTGCCAGACGTTCTACTATGGCCATTACCATTATCATCATTACAATTACAGGGGGGCAGACGCAGGCTTACAGTTTTCCTATGGAAAACAATACAATAGCTAATAAAGATTAGCACAAGAATAAACCCTGTGTTTCACAGACTCGCAACTGTAACCCTACTTCTGTCCCACCCTGTATAATAAGCAGTAAGCAAACAAACAAATAAGTAAATAAAATAAAAATCCAGAAAGCAGGTCGGAGAGCCCGGGACTGGGATCACTGGGATGTGAGGGGGTGTGGGTCTCAGCAGAGGTAGTTTCAGGAGTGACCGTGGTTCCCAGGAGTTCAGCCAGAGCCCAACAAGTTTGGGGGTGAAGAGCGAGAGGGGGTGAGGTGGGGGGGCAGAAACAGCTGCCCATTGGAGACAGTCACCCAAGGCCAAAGGAGCCCCAAGGGTATCTGCAGGCCTATTTAGGTGAGGCCTTGGTCCCGGTGATTCTGATGGAAGCGAACCCAGTGCCCCAGCTGGTGGGGCAGCGCCCCCTGCTGGCCTCTCTGACAGTAGGTCCCCGGGGTGGGGGGATGTATGAGCAGGGAGGACAGAGGGTTAGTAGGGCTTTGAAGCCTCATGGGCAGGACCATCAGCCTGCACCAGGCCTGCTGGGAGGAACGGAGCCGCATCCCATTAGAACCAGGGAGGACCACCAGCCTGCACCAGGCCTGCTGGGAGCAGAAAAGCCGCATCCCATTAGGACCAGGGAGGACCACCAGCCTGCACCGGGCCTGCTGGGAGCAGAAAAGCCGCATCCCATTAGGACCAGGGAGGACCACCAGCCTGCACCGGGCCTGCTTGGAGGAGCGGAGCTGCATCCCATTAGGACCAGGGAGGACCACCAGCCTGCACCGGGCCGCTGGCAGGAGCGGAGCCGCATCCCATTAGGCCCGTTGCTGCGCTGAGCTAATTGCATCAGGCTGCACTTTCGCTCTGGCCCGCGTTTCAGATGCTTGGCGTCTGTGAACAGAGCGGCAAACAAAGGGAAAGAGGAGTCTCCCGAGGGAAGAACAATTCAGCGGACAAGCTTCTTGTCGGAGGCTCCTGCCCCATTTCTGTCTGTGGGACAGATGGGAGCTTGCGGTGGGCGAGAGGGGTGGGGACTGAAGGAACAATAGTGTGGCTTCTACAGAGTTCCCTAAATAGACAGCTCTCCAGGGCGCCCTGTCTGCACCCCTCTGTATTCCCAGGTTCTTGGGGTGCTGGTGGGTTCAGAGGCTCACAGGTTGCTTCCTCGTAATCAAAGGCATTGAAGAGGGGGCGGCAGGAGCCTGTGCAATGTCCCATCTAGGGCCCAGTTTGGCGTGAAGTTTGAAGGCAGACACCCCCGTAATCAAAGGCATTGAAGGGGGGGGGGGGCGGCAGAAGCCTGTGCGATGTCCCATCCAGGGCCCAGTTTGGCGTGAAGTTTGAAGGCAGACACCCCAGCCTCCTCACCAGCACCCTTCTTCCCTGGTAAGACAGAAACCCTTCCTGCCAGTAGGGCGCGCTGCAGCCCCTCTCTGCTACCCTGTGTCTCTGTGGGTCTCCCAGGCCAGAGGCAGGCTTGGTCCTCAGGGACCTCCTCTGTCTCATTTCTCCCCTGCGGAGTCAGTGTCAGGGCCCTGCCTGGTCCCTTGACAGGGAAGGCAAGGGCCTGGGCCTGGCCCTTACAGCAGGCACTGCAGCCAGCAGAGGCGGCTGGGGCCCCCCCTCAAGAGTGGGGAACCGGATTCTGAGCTCTACAACTTCAGGAGTTCCAGTGTTTGCCCTGACGTAGGTTCCAAAACACTCCCGCCAGCTCAGTCGCTTGTGCCTTTGTTGGTTAGTTGGTTTGTTTCACAGAACTGGGCCCCTGTCCTGTGCCCAGCCCTGCCCGAGGCACAGGGACACCAGGCCCAGCAGAGGGAGCACGCGGCACCTATGCAAACAGTGGGGACTCAGACGCCAGAAGGAAGCTGGGGTGCAGGGGGTACTGGGGTGCTGGGGGTGACTGGGTGTGGTGACAACTGGTTTGCTGTCCGGCTATGTCCTTCATGAACATTACAAGCAAGTTCTTCTGCACAAGAACTGTGTTCTGCTGTGAGAAGCACAGATTCCCTTTTTGCTTCAGGAAAGATAAATAAGGCCACTCGCATTCTCCCCGGCACCAGCAGCTTCTGAGGCTAGGAGCAACTTGCAGTTCAGGAGTTTTGTTCTGTTAAAAGAGTGACATGAACATCGCGTCCTCTACTCCCTCCAGAAAAAACACGGACATGGGTGTGCGGTGTGCCGAGGCCCGGGCACCCAGGTGGGAGAGGGACGCCCGGCGATGAGGCAGCTCCGCCTGACCGGGGACCCTCCTCCTGCAAAAGGCCCAGGTCCAAGGAAACGTGTGGTCCCGGTTCTGAAGGTCCTGGGGGACTGTGTGGGTCCGAAGCTCCGGCTCTAAGCCGCCCCCATGGTCCGGAGTTCAGAGGTCTGAGAGTCACCAAAGGCTCCCCAGGCCACCCCAGCCCAAATGCCAGGCTTCTGGATTCCACTGCGCGCCAGGGGGCTGCCCTGCATTCTGTGAGAATGCCACAGAAACAACCAGGACAACAGCTCGGAGCATGCGGAGTAGGGGGGGGGGGAAGGCGGAGGTGGGGAGCAGGGCTGGAGAGCCTCCCTGACCCCCTGCCACTGCCATTGTCCATCCGAGATGTCAGTGAAGCCGCCGGACACTTGGCCTTTCCCCCGCGGCCCTGGCCGGGCTCTGCTCCGGTGACATGATGGCACTTGCAGACAGAGGCGACGAGGACAGCCCTCCTGCCCGGCACCACGAAGAGGCCCTATCCGCCCATCATCCAGCCTGAGCAGGATCCTCTCTGCTTCCCTTTAATGAGATGCTAATGGGATGCATCATTAACGCAGCAGCTTTTAAACCCGAGCTCTTGTAAATTTTCAAAGGTCACATTTTTACGGTAGCTGACAGCATCCTGCTTCTTTCAGCGACTGAAGACACTAAAGACCCTGATCCTAATGGATGGGCCTCTGTGAGGCGGCTGCTCGGGCCCAGGCGCCCGCTGTGGGGGGGGGGGGTGGGGCGGGGTGGGGGCGGGTGCTGGGGAACCTCCTCCTGGAGGAAGCCTCCCAGGGTGCCTGGCTCGCGCTCTACCAGCTCGGGGAGAGCCCGTTACACGCTGCCCACAGGGCTGCATCGGGGCCTGTGGCCGTGGGGGAAGGTGTGCAGGGCGCAGGCGGTGCACTTTGCAGAGATGCCTGGCCACGGGGGCGAGGGGCTGACACCGCTGGGGGCGCAGAGCCACGTTCCCTCCCACAGAGCGTCACGGGCTCACCAGGCTGTGCACCCGTGAAGCTGCTGCAGTCCAGAGGGGCTGCTTTTTCTAACGTGTTCACCCAGAGGGAGCACCATTTCCTACTTTGCACAGAGGTGCCCTCCGGGCCACCAGGGTCCGGGTGGTCAGGGGGGTTTGAAGGATGAGCCTTCCTGGGGGCCCTCACGCATCTCTCTTCTTCCAGCTCCTACGCCCTGTGCACAGGATGACTGCAGCTGGCACGCTGCCTCTCAGGGCTGTGCTGACCCTGCACTGGTGGGCCAGCTCCATGAGGGGGGGACCAGGCACGGTGCCCGGCGGAGCTGGTGCCTGGCCTGGTGCAGGTGCCCAGGGAACGAATGGACGAGAGCAGGGTCTGTGGGCTACAGTGCTGGCCAACAGCAGGAACATGCCTCCCTGTAGGTTTGGTGCATGTGTTGATGCATGGAGTGCGCGTAGGAGGAGTAAACAACGTGAGCAACCGAGCAGGGGGGTGAAGCGCATGGTGTGCCTGGGCAACCTGGTGCAATGCGTTCCCCTTATTGAGGAGATGGGGTTTCTGGACCGTGGGGGCCTTGTGTGCTGGGACCCCAACACCACTGCCCTGGAGGCTGCTGGAGGCTGCTCGGAGGCCTGGTGCCCCAAACCTCTGCCCCTGCTCGTGCGCCTGGTATTGTGGACGACTGGGTGCCGGGGTTGGTGCCCGCCTCTTGGGGGCGGGGGCATCTTCTGCAGAAACCGGAACTCAGCTCCTTCCACTGTCGCCAAGAAGATCAGAAGACAGTGAACCGACAGAGCCTGGACAGC